TTTGATTGCTAGGCCGGGCGCTTACGCGTAGCACGAGCAGTACTTATATCTAGAGAAGTCGGAAGACGTATGTTTTCGTGTTTCTTACATCCCATTCTCACCATCCTCCGTAATTTGTGTCGAATATTTTCTTTCATCAATACACGATGGCGACAGTCACATTCGATCCTAGATCTGTGTTGCTTTTATTGTTCGACAATCATCGTATTAGCAGGCCGTACAGGCGCTATTCGTCACATGCACCGGTACTCGAATGTTCGAGGACACCGAATTCTTCAAACTATACCCCGAATCCATACCATTCTCGAGCTAGGCAGTCATCTGTACAGCGCGGCCTTGCGATATTTACTCCACGGCACCCCAGGTCTCGTGATCCATACACGAAGGCAACTCGAAGTGGTCGACATGGTCAGAAACTAGGGGCTTCTCCAGTACGGCGAGGGCAAAGCCAGCGGACAAAGCTGAATGGGAGGAGTTGCGGTCAGATCACGATATGAGTCTGAGCTGGATAACCACCGCCCCCAGGAGGAAAATGAAGAAAAGGGGATATAGGGCTTTCAATAGTGGCGTTGCGTTAACTACAGCATATTGTCAAGGGCTGTACCGTTGTGCTTGGGATGCACTGTTACATTTGAAGTGAAGTGGCAGTCAACAGGAAGTAATTCCATTGCAGCTTCGCGATGCATTGAAAGACGTCAATTGGGAACGGGATTCATCATTTTATAGACCAAGCTTCTTCATTGAAGAGTTCACAGTGAAATAGACAATTCTATTCAGAAACATGACTTAGTCAGCCTTAGCACACCAAGGCTGGCACCAAACCTTATTTGCTGGCGTCCATAATATCAGATGGAGTGGCATAGAAGGCCAAGGCGATGATAATGTAAAGACCCATAAGCATAGCACCCTCCAGATAGTTGGACTTGCCATCCTGAATGGTGTATGTGATGACGAGGACAGATGCTGCGAAGGCGACAGTTTGGACTGTAAGTTAGTTGTCAGAACAGACGGTTGGAGCTGTCAAACTTACATGTCTCTCTCCAAGTGAAGAGTCATCTCAGCATTAATGATCCAGCCAACAATGACAAGAGAAGGAGCAACCAGGAGGGCAATCTGGATCGAAGAGCCAACGGCAACACCCATGGCGAGGTCCATCTTGTCACGGAGCGCAACAGCAACGGCGGTGACGTGCTCTGCGACACTGCC